GGCATTCCCTTGGTCCAATACTTGTGCTAGATGGTCACTGCCAGCGACTACCGAACCATTCTGGAGGACCACGTTTATCCAATGGTTCAAACATTGTATCCTGAAGGCGGTGCTGTGTATCAGGATGACAACAATACACAGCAAGACTGGTGAAAGATTGGTTTGATGAACATGAAAGTGAAGTTGAATATCTCCCATTGCCTGCACAGTCACCAGATCCAAATATTATTGAGCCACTTTGGGTATTTTGGAGGAGCGAGTCAGGAAATGTTTTCCTCCACCAGCATCAAGTAGTGACCTGGATACTATCCTGCAAGAAGAATGGCTTCACATCCCTCTGACCACTGTGCAGGACTGTATATGTCATTCCCAAAACAAACTGATGCTGTATTGGAGGCCCTGTACCATACTAATAAATGATTGTGGTCTAAAACCATCTGTTTCGTGTTCATTGTAACCATAACTGTCACAGATTTTTAGTCTTAACTGTAACCATCATCATCCTCCCCAGAATGCATTGAATCAGTAATAAAACAGTGATGTAAGTSAATTTTTGAAGTAATTAGATATCATTTCAGATCACAAACCACTTGTAGTAAAATAAAGAACAAAGACCAGCATGTGACTGTAGGCAGAGTTTAGTAGATAAAACAGTTAAATCAGCTCCTGAATGAAAAATGACAAACAGCAGGTWAAGGTTCACTTGGACTTTATTTGTGAAGTGGATGAACAAAGCTCATTCTTCCTATGAGTTATTTAAAAGGCATTCAAGTTACCAGCGCTGAGTTTTATTCTGAAATTTTTCCTGTTCAGTCTACCAACTACAGCCGTGGTCAGAGCCAAGAAACGAGCCGACCACTGAGAAATGTTGCAAGGCAAGACAGGGACTTTAGCACGTTCTGACAGTACCTGCTGACTGTGGTATGGCTTTGACCACACAGAAACAAAACATCTTCATAAATAGAAAAGTCTTCCACCATCTTTACATGGCTCCAAACATTCAGAGTTACAGCAACAAAACAAACAAGAGTTAAAAGTTAGCACCCGAGTCTAACAGGCGGGACAGAGTCCACACTCAAGGCAAAACAACAAAAAGAAAGCCCGTCACAAATTTAAGTGATTAAACCTGATTCTGTCATCAGAAGCTAAAAGACCATAAAAAGGAGGAAAGAAGTTTCCTGGAGTGCAGCCTTCTCCTTCAAACCAATCATCTCAAACATTCACCTGCTAAAGCTAAAGCTAGCTAAAACACTACTGCTTCCCGGAGGTGACGCGAGGCGAGGAGTGGACTGATGGTGGCAGCGTCCCGAGGCGTGTGGAAAAGTCTTTAAAGTGGAATTAATTATTTATTCATTGGCCCTACGTTTGTCTAAATTTGAGTCTACAGCTGGAGCAGAAGCAGATTACACGTCGGTCCCTCGACACTTTGATTCAAGACTAGCAGTGATTGGACCACCTCTCCCCTCTGGTGGATAAATGCTTGCATTTTATGTTGGGGGGTGGGGTGGGGT